GTACCTCTCTGGTGCGTTCCTTTCGTGTTTTTTGCCCTTATTAGGTTTTATTCTAAGAGGTTTCTTTTCCGGCTTAACTGGTAAACCAATTTCCTGCGGATCTATGTTCAAATATTCACAATTTTTTCTCATATCATTTAATTTGCGCCTGCTAATTCTCGGCGCTTTCCACCTGGCTCTTCCCCACGTATCAACGCATTTAAATGTTGGTTTAAAATCGGTAGGGCTGTAATTTTTTTCTAGATATGCTCTTTTTTGAGGTGAAATATATTTCTCCGTTGTTCCTCTCAAAGCTACCGAATAAGTTTGTAGCGACGTCGTTATTAGCTTTTGCGAAACTTTTTTGGTCACACCGGTCATTGTAATAGATTATCTGGAAAATTAAAAAATAAATACAATGTTATCTCGAAGTTGCATAAATTTATTTTCTTAATTTATATATTTTTTCAACTTGCTATTAATTAAATTATTATTTAATATTCAAAAAAAATTTTTTTATAAATTATTTATTATTTAATGAAAAATTTTATTAGAAAAAAATAGAGTTTGATTTTTTATTGATATTTGATATTTATTATAATTTTATTCAATTATATTATATCTTGAAACTAGTAATTAATAGTTTTTTAAAAAAAATTATTGGTTCATTAAAATTTTTAATAAATTTTTTTTTTTACTTTTATACTTAGTCTATAAATGTTTAATTGAATTAAAAATTTGTATTATATAACAATTAATGTTTTTTTAAAAAATTTTAATTAAAATAAAAAACTTTATTAAGAAATTAAATAATTTAATATACATAGATATTTTTCTAATGTAAATAAATAAAATAAAAATATATAATATAATATAATGTACAAAATATCTTTTTTATTTGTCTTTTATTATTAAAAAAAATTTTTTATAATTATTTTTTATAATTATTATTTTTTTTATTAAAAAAAAAAAAATAAGAGTTATACTTTTTATAATAAAATTATATAATTTAAATAATACTTGTATATAAAATTTTGTTTAATTATATATATATACGTATATATATTGATATTATATAAGATTTTTTCAATTATATAAAATTATTATATAGAAATTATTTTTTATTAAATAAATCAAAACTTGTATATAACAAAAATTAAATAATAAAGATAAAAATTTTTTTGCTTTATTTAATTTATATTTATATTTCTTTTATAAAATTACTATTTATAAACCATTTTAGATATATAAAAATTCTTTAAAAAAACTTTCCAATTAATTTTTTTACTAATTTAAAAAATAGATATTCTTGAAAAAAAATTTATTTTTCAATAATAAAATCTAAACACTTTTATTAACAATATATATTTTAAAGGCAATAATCTTTTTCACTTGTTTATTTTTTTTTCTTTAAACTTTTTGAATATTTTAATAACAAAATATCCAAAACCTTATTTATTTAATTTATAATAAGAACACTTTATTGAACAAAAAAATCTGTTAAAAAAATATTCATTTTTACTCTCTCTCAAAATCTAAAATTTTAAAAGAATTTACTAGTAAATATATTTTTCAAGTTCTATAAAAATAGATTTATTATCCTTTAAATCATAGAATATTTTTTTATAACATTTAAAATTTTTTAATTAAAAAATTGCTTTTCATTTATTTTTTTAAATAATTAAAATATTTTTTTAAAAATTTATATAATATTAATTTTAATTATATATTATTTATTAATAGTATTTATTTTTTTATTTATTTAATAAAAATTTAAAGTTTAATTATAAACAAAAAATTTAATTTTTTAAATTAAAAAAAACTCTCTCCTAATTGTATTTATTTTGTTAAAAATTTTCTTTTTATAGTAATTTTAAGCAAGAAAAAATATTTAATACTCTTTATTGCAAGTAAGCTTTAGCTCATGAACTCAAAAACCTTCAAGACAACTGATACAGTAGAATGAAACCTCTGATTGAAATCTATTCAAGTTTAAAAGTCTTGCTTATTTTTCAGTTACATAAAAAAAGGCTCATAGCAATTTTCTTTTTTTTTGTTTTCTTGTATATATCCTTACTCTTATTATATTATAAAACTATTTACATCAATATCACTATACTTACTAAATAAAATACTTTCCGAAAAACATGCTGAGATCTAATATTTGTTTTAAATTAACCTTTATATATAACTTTACTATAGTAATATTTGCTATACTATTTTCAAATTTTCAAAAAATTATACTTAAAAAACCAAAACCAGTTTATTCCTTTAGATAATCATTGCTTTTCAATTATTCAATCAGATTTTGTCAAAACAACAAAGCAAAAACTAAACCTGTTTAAATCAGTTTTTTAGTATAATAATAATAACAATAATAATAATAACAATAACTCCAAACAATATCAACTATACTATAATCTTTTTGTCACCAAAGCATATGTAAATAATGAAGAAACTTAGTAAACTCTAGTTCCTACAATTGAACAAAGGGTTTCTCTGAATATATAAACTTTACTATCAAAAATCTTATTGTTTATTTGATTTAGTTTCAGCTTTAATTATTTTATTGTTATATATATATTCATTTTTCTTATATTCAAAAAATTAAAAGATTTCATAAAACTTCTTGAGTTAATAGGCATAATTGCTACTTAGTTTTATCTAGTATCATAATATTGCTTTTGAAATTTTTTACAATATTTGTTAAATAATGTTAAGTAGGCAAGCTAGCATTTAACTTTTCTAAAATAATAAAAAAGATGTTGTTTTTTTCACAATATACTATATATCTTGTTATACAGTAGCGGTCATAAGTATCTGTACCCCCAAATTTTTCAAAATCATATGACAATGCCCCCTCAAAATTTCCAGGA